CCCTGCTCGTGTCCTCCTGGAGCCGGCTTTCGTTCTGCACCGCTTCGGTCCAAGCTGGAGTCCAAGGACCGTGTCGCAGGGCTTTAAAACACCATGGCAGTGAAGGACGGATTGGGCCCGCGGCCCGTATCCCATACCAACACCTTGACTTTTCCTGCGTTCTGCACTGCCAATGCCACCCTTCTTGTGTCATCCTGGAGCGCTTGTCGTTCGCAACCGCTTCGGTCCAAGCTGGCAGTCCAAGACCGTGGCAAGTGGAAGGACGGAATCTAACTCGACTAGAAACTAGCTCCAAACCTTGACTTTACCTGCGTTTCTGCACTGCCAACTGCCACCCTGCTCGTGTCCTCCTGGCGCCGGCTTTCGTTCTGCACCGCTTTGGTCCAAGCTGGAGTCCAAGGACCGTGTCGCAGGGCTAAAACACCATGGCAGTGAAGGACGGATTAGGCCCGTGGCCCGTATCCCAGACTGCCAAACGTCACTTTCTGAACCGACTAGAAACTAGCTCCAAACCTTGACTTTTCCTGCGTTTCTGCACTGCCAACTGCCACCCTGCTCGTGTCCTCCTGGAGCCGGCTTTCGTTCTGGTCGCTCCAAACCTTGACTTTACCTGCGTTTCTGCACTGCCAACTGCCACCCTGCTCGTGTCCTCCTGGCGCCGGCTTTCGTTCTGCACCGCTTTGGTCCAAGCTGGAGTCCAAGGACCGTGTCGCAGGGCTAAAACACCATGGCAGTGAAGGACGGATTAGGCCCGTGGCCCGTATCCCAGACTGCCAAACGTCACTTTCTGAACCGACTAGAAACTAGCTCCAAACCTTGACTTTTCCTGCGTTTCTGCACTGCCAACTGCCACCCTGCTCGTGTCCTCCTGGAGCCGGCTTTCGTTCTGCACCGCTTCGGTCCAAGCTGGAGTCCAAGGACCGTGTCGCAGGGCTAAAACACCATGGCAGTGAAGGACCCCAGACTGCCAAACGTAATTTTCTGAAACGACTAGAAACTAGCTCCAAACCTTGACTTTTCCTGCGTTTCTGCACTGCCAACTGCCACCCTGCTTGTGTCCTCCTGGAGCCGGCTTTCGTTCTGCACCGCTTCGGTCCAAGCTGGAGTCCAAGGACCGTGTCGCAGGGCTAAAACACCATGGCAGTGAAGGACGGATTGGGCCGCGGCCCGTATCCCAGACTGCCAAACGTCACTTTCTGAACCGACTAGAAACTAGCTCCAAACCTTGACTTTTCCTGCGTTTCTGCATTGCCAACTGCCACCCTGCTCGTGTCCTCCTGGAGCCGGCTTTCGTTCTGCGGCCCGTAGCCCAGAGGGCCAAACGTTACTTTCTGAACCGACTAGAAACTAGCTCCAAACCTTGACTTTACCTGCGTTTCTGCACTGCCAACTGCCACCCTGCTCGTGTCCTCTTGGCGCCGGCTTTCGTTCTGCACCGCTTCGGTCCAAGCTGGAGTCCAAGGACCGTGTCGCAGGGCTAAAACACCATGGCAGTGAAGGACGGATTGGGCCCGCGGCCCGTATCCCAGACTGCCAGACGTCACTTTCTGAACCGACTAGAAACTAGCTCCAAACCTTGACTTTTCCTGCGTTTCTGCACTGCCAACTGCCACCCTGCTCGTGTCCTCCTGGAGCCCAGACTGCCAAACGTCACATTCTGAACCGACTAGAAACTAGCTCCAAACCTTGACTTTTCCTGCGTTTCTGCATTGCCAACTGCCACCCTGCTCGTGTCCTCCTGGAGCCGGCTTTCGTTCTGCACCGCTTCGGTCCAGTCCAAGCTGGAGTCCAAGGACCGCGTCGCAGGGCTAAAACACCATGGCAGTGAAGGACGGATTGGGCCCGCGGCCCGTATCCCAGACTGCCAAACGTCACTTTCTGAACCGACTAGAAACTAGCTCCAAACCTTGACTTTTCCTGCATTTCTGCACTGCCAACTGCCACCCTGCTCGTGTCCTCCTGGAGCCGGCTTTCGTTCTGCACCGCTTCGGTCCAAGCTGGAGTCCATGGACCGTGTCGCAGGGCTAAAACACCATGGCAGTGAAGGACGGATTGGGCCCGGCCCGTATCCTAGACTGCCAAACGTCACTTTCTGAACCGACTAGAAACTAGCTCCAAACCTTGACTTTTCCTGCGTTTCTGCACTGCCAACTGCCACCCGGCTCGTGTCCTCCTGGAGCAAACGTCACTTTCTGAACCGACTAGAAACTAGCTCCAAACCTTGACTTTTCCTGCGTTTCTGCACTGCCAACTGCCACCCTGCTCGTGTCCTCCTGGAGCCGGCTTTCGTTCGGCACCGCTTCGGTCCAAGCTGGAGTCCAAGGACCGTGTCGCAGGGCTAAAACACCATGGCAGTGAAGGACGGATTGGGCCCGCGGCCCGTATCCCAGACTGCCAAACGTCACTTTCTGAACCGACTAGAAACTAGCTCCAAACCTTGACTTTTCCTGCGTTTCTGCACTGCCAACTGCCACCCTGCTCGTGTCCTCCTGGAGCCGGCCTTCGTTCTGCACCGCTTCGTCCAAGCTGGAGTCCAAGGACCGTGTCGCAGGGCTAAAACACCATGGCAGTGAAGGACGGATTGGGCCCGCGGCCCGTATCCCAGACTGCCAAACGTCACTTTCTGAACCGACTAGAAACTAGCTCCAAACCTTGACTTTTCCTGCGTTTCTGCACTGCCAACTGCCACCCTCCTGGAGCCGGCTTTCGTTCTGCACCGCTTCGGTCCAAGCTGGTGTCGCAGGGCTAAAACACCATGGCAGTGAAGGACGGATTGGGCCCGCGGCCCGTATCCCAGACTGCCAAACGTCACTTTCTGAACCGACTAGAAACTAGCTCCAAACCTTGACGTTTCCTGCGTTTCTGCACTGCCAACTGCCACCCTGCTCGTGTCCTCCTGGAGCCGGCTTTCGTTCTGCACCGCTTCGGTCCAAGCTGGAGTCCAAGGACCGTGTCGCAGGGCTAAAACACCATGGCAGTGAAGGACGGATTGGGCCCGCGGCCCGTATCCTAGACTGCCAAACGTCACTTTCCGAACCGACTAGAAACTAGCTCCAAACCTTGACTTTTCCTGCGTTTCTGCACTGCCAACTGCCACCCTGCTCGTGTCCTCCTGGAGCCGGCTTTCGTTCTGCGGCTCCAAACCTTGACTTTACCTGCGTTTCTGCACTGCCAACTGCCACCCTGCTCGTGTCCTCCTGGAGCCGGCTTTCGTTCTGCACCACTTCGGTCTAAGCTGGAGTCCAAGGACCGTGTCGCAGGGCTAAAACACCAATGCAGTGAAGGACGGATTAGGCCCGCGGCCCGTATCCCAGACTGGCAAACGTCACTTTCTGAACCGACTAGAAACTAGCTCCAAACCTTGACTTTTCCTGCGTTTCTGCACTGCCAACTGCCACCCTGCTCGTGTCCTCCTGGAGCCGGCTTTCGTTCTGCCCCGCTTCGGTCTAAGCTGGAGTCCAAGGACCGTGTCGCAGGGCTAAAACACCATGGCAGTGAAGGACGGATTGGGCCTGCGGCCCGTATCCCAGACTGCCAAACGTCACTTTCTGAACCAACTAGAAATAAGCTCCAAACCTTGACTTTTCCTGCGTTTCTGCACTGCCAACTGCCACCCTGCTCGTGTCCTCCTGGAGCCGGCTTTCGTTCTGCACCGCTTCGGTCCAAGCTGCAGTCCACGGACCGTGTCGCAGGGCTAAAACACCATGGCAGTGACGGACGGATTGGGCCCGCGGCCCGTATCCTAGACTGCCAAACGTCACTTTCTGAACCGACTAGAAACCAGCTCCAAACCTTGACTTTTCCTGCGTTTCTGCACTGCCAACTGCCACCTTGCTCGTGTCCTCCTGGAGCTGGCTTTCGTCCTGCGGCCCGTAGCCCAGAGTGCCAAACGTTACTTTCTGAACCGATTAGAAACTAGCTCCAAACCTTGACTTTACCTGCGTTTCTGCACTGCCAACTGCCACCCTGCTCGTGTCCTCCTGGCGCCGGCTTTCGTTCTGCACCGCTTCGGTCCAAGCTGGAGTCCAAGGACCGTGTCGCAGGGCTAAAACACCATGGCAGTGAAGGACGGATTGGGCCCGCGGCCCGTATCCCAGACTGCCAAACGTCACTTTCTGAACCGACTAGAAACTAGCTCCAAACCTTGACTTTTCCTGCGTTTCTGCATTCCCAACTGCCACCCTGCTCGTGTCTCCTGGAGCCGGCTTTCGTTCTGCACCGCTTCGGTCCAAGCTGGAGTCCAAGGACCGTGTCGCAGGGCTAAAACACCATGGCAGTGAAGGACGGATTGGGCCCGCGGCCCGTATCCCAGACTGCCAAACGTCACTTTCTGAACCGACTAGAAACTAGCTCCAAACCTTGACTTTTCCTGCGTTTCTGCACTGCCAACTGCCACCCTGCTCGTGTCCTCCTGGAGCCGGCTTTCGTTCTGCACCGCTTCGGTCCAAGCTGGAGTCCAAGGACCGTGTCGCAGGGCTAAAACACCATGGCAGTGAAGGACGGATTGGGCCCGCGGCCCGTATCCCAGACTGCCAAACGTCACTTTCTGAACCGACTAGAAACTAGCTCCAAACCTTGACTTTTCCTGCGTTTCTACACTGCCAACTGCCACCCTGCTCGTGTCCTCCTGGAGCCGGCTTTCGTTCTGCACAAACTCTTCGCCCCTTCTGGCATCTTGTTGCTAGTAAGGCCTCCTCTGACGCGCTCCCCCTGCTGACGGCAGGGGTCGGCGGATATTTACATTCCGGTTTCCTTTGGGGAAGGGATCTTAACATATCGTACCTCAGAATACTATATATATATATTATAGGCTCTCTCTCTCTATATATATATACAGGCTATGTGTATATATATATAGAGACTACATACATACACACACACACACACATATATATATATATATGTTCATTTTGGTGTCATTGCTACCTGATTATCCAGGTATTGCTGTTGACATTCCCAGGTATTTGTTGCAAACCATGGCCGTTTCCAGCGGCCGTTTCCAGGCCTCGCGTCGGTGGTCTTCGACAAGGCTCTACGAACACCTGCCGGGAGTGTGAAGACGGAGCAGCAGAAGGAAGCGGCACAGCAGCAGGACGTGGGTCTTGTTGAGGCAGAAGCAACAAAGGCAAAGTTCATGGTATATGATGGTACATGAACACAGAAATGCATGAAGTATATAGTCTACTGTGACCATTCATGAAGTGTAATTATATTTTATATATTCAATAGAATGTATGTAGGTGCGTAGATATGTAGTATGTATGTACGATTCTGTTTATATTATAATATTATTGATAACATATACACACACACACATATATGTATATATAGAGGTACGGTCAAAACTCTGGTAGACCAGGTTTAGTAGGGATTGCTCACCTTGTGTATGCAAAGTGCACCAAGCAGTGTGTAGCGATAGGGCCACCCGAAAAACAGCCCACATTCTATGCAAAGTTGCGCATATGAAAGAGGTGAAATTAGTGATACCCATAGTGACACCTTAGCCACTACGCATTTTTTCAACATGTAGCCCCAGACCACAGATAGAGACCCTTTTCTCATTTCCTCTTCCTTTCCTTACACAAAATTGGATCCCCATTTTCATAGCTACGAAAGTGCAAACCATGGTTGGCGATAGGCCCCTCCCAAAGAAGCGATACATGTTTCCAGCAAGGCGAAGACATATAATTTTGACAGCGGCTCATATATGTGTGTGCATATGTGTATTTGGCACATGTTCACATAGTTCAGTATATGTATAATATTTATTTAATTTTATTTGTGCACATATGCCTACATATTGCATTCATATGTGCATGTGGGGAGCTGCGTGTACTGATGGCCATATATGTGTGCGTGATGACCTGGACTGCTGCCTGGACTGCAGCCCAGGTTGACGATGAAGAGCCAGACCCCATGGGCCAGCACAAGCCCAACTTGGTCCCTGGGTTGTAGAAGGCTGGTCAAGATGTTGGATAGGGATCAACGGTTCATCATCATCATCATCATCATCATCACCATCACCATCACCATCACCATGAAGATCATACAACTGCCACTGAGCTGGATTGATTCATCAAGCTGAAACCCTGGCAATTCAATTGCCCGGTTCACCATGTTATTTGCTGATGTTGGTGTCAAGTGATGGTAGCCCGCCCCACAGGATTAGAAACATTGGAAGACCTTGCTTCAACTGTTTTTTTTAAATATATATATATATATATATATAGAGAGAGAGAGAGAGATAGAGAGAGTATGTTTGGAAACCACCAATGCAACACTTCAGGGCAGCTCCCCCTGCTCCCCGACGCCTGGAGCTCCACCCCCGTCCAAGGTTCAGATCCTCAATGTGGACATTGTGGATACCTGGGGCGGCCTCCTGGCGGTCTTGTGGCAGCACATAGATGACATAGCAGATGGCCTTGGCCAAGCTGGTGGTCCGAACCTCCTAACCATGGCTTGGAGGATGCCAGGGTTCGGACCCTCCATGGCCCATGATTCATTGCTATTTCCCGACTTTCCCTGAGAGCCGCCGAGGATGTCCTGAGCACAGTCACAGCTCCGTTTGCCGCCATTGGGCTGCTGGTGATGATGATCCACCAGATTGGCGACTCCTCAGCTACCGTCTCTTGGATTCCAGCAGACTTCTGGCCCTGAGAGATGTGCTTTGGGAAGTGGAAAAGCATACAAGGAGTATCAAGGAGTTATTTGTTGGGCTGGGTTGGGTTGGTTTGGTTTAACGAGTTTAATGTGGCTGGTTGGTTGAACAGTCGAGCGTTTGGCCGATGCTTGGCTTTGTCAGGTTGGGGCATGCTATGTGCTGCCAGTACTACTTCTCACCGTGCTTGCCACAACGGTTGCCATGAAATTCTGGAGGCAAAGTCTGCTTCTCATGGTATGCTACGGTGCTAGTCTCCACAGATAGCAGAGGGTCAGCAGGTAATTTCTTCAGTGGTCACGAACCATCACCTCTACAACTGAAACAACCATTGCCAGTCGCCAATGTACATACTAAGCATTCAGAAGTTACCGAATCATCCCGAAATCCTAGTACTTCTGCAGTTGCTTGGTGCTGCAGAGACTTTGAATACGAAAAGGGATATGCAACCTGAGAGAAAGCAGATCCAAAGTCTCAGCTCTAGACCGATGACCCAATCTGAGTGTTTCATCTTAGTTTCCTCTGTAGGTCATCGGATTTGGGTCATTCATTTTGAATTGCCGTCATTGATCGTCGTGCTAGGGTCTACCAAGTTTGGCTAGACAAGCGAATGAAGTGGCTGACAGTGACTTGGCTTATCTATGTTGATTTTGGCCTTGCAGTCGACCTCATTTGCACGCGCTCTAGATGCTGCGGATTTGGATAGATGGCAAATGTGGTAGGTCCAGATGCAGTCTTGTTGTGGGAGTGTTGGTTTCAATGGTTTTCAACATCCATGATATCGCAAGTTGGTTGGCAGCTTTCCTTTTTCAGATCTTTTTCTCTGGCTGCAAGGAGACGCTGATCTCAATCCGAACCATCAAAGCCCTTGCCTGGGAACGGCTCTCCTATGATAAACTTAGCCAGGTTCAGGGTTCTGTGGGTTGCCACATTGTGGACCGAATTTTCTTCATTCATCCCCGAAGGCAACATGGACCCCCAAACAATATAACATAGAAACTCCGTGAAATGCACAGAAGAGTAGTTGGGTAGTTCTATTCCCATTGCTATGGCCGATCTATTCCTGTTGGAAATTGCCCGTCTTGGGCGTTTCATGTCCTTCCCTGTGGCCGGGCTTCTCTGGTCACGGCCGCACCCTGATAGGCGCGGGAGGGCGAAATTACCCAAGCCAAGTACATGCTGGCGTCTCGATGCATTGACAGCCATGGACAGTGGACCCCAGAGCAATATCTAGGGAAAAAGTATGAAAAAGTGATGATCATTGGATGGGCAGTGGAGGTACGGCGTTTCCAGACACGCCCAAATATCATCATGAAATCCGAGTGACTGTAGTGGATTTGCGCTAGCTGGTGGCAGTCTGAAAGGAAATGAAATCTTTCGGAAAGGGGGGGGCCACATTCTGGGAGAGAGTAAGCGAGCAATTGATTGGAGTCTGTGCCACAAGCTTGCTGCAGCTCTGGAAATTTTCTATCCTATACTTATCTTCTTTGGATGCCTCCATGTGAAAGAAACTTTGAAAGCTAGGCTGCGATCCTCAAGTGGAATGGAACATATTTTTCACTGCATTGTCAATGGATATCCTGAGGCGATCACTGGCTTCATGACTGCCCTCCAACACACTGTGCCCTGGGGCGTGCTCCTGATTACAGTTTGGTTCGCCGAGAGACAAGGAGACGGGCACCGTTTCCCCAGCCACTTCAATCACATGGCTTTAAGTCTGACAACAGGGTACCCCATCCACTGGTTATAATCATCCTTATCCCCATCATTATTGCCTTTTTGGAGGTAACTCTAATTTTCAAAGACACCCACATCAAATCAGCATACGTAGCTGCTCTGGTGACCGCAAGAGCTCAGGAGATATGAGGTTTTAAAGGTTTTTTGAACCCTAAATGATGACAAACATGGAACATTTGAAATTTCAGTTCAGGAGATGATAATTTTGGACCCCCTAAATTTCCATGGTTGATCGTCACTCAAAAATCATTGACAAGGCATGGGTCTCTGGATATCTTCGGTCTCCGCAGAGAAAGGGACGCTCCCAGCTCTTAACGAGGTCATACTACCCCGACTCTCCCAAACTGCGTTTATTTTTGCTGGTAAGCTTGTACGTAGGTTGTAGACCAGCTCTGGAGGATTGTCTGATACTGTATTAAGTGATTTTTTTGTAATATTTGGTAATACCGTATACCGTAATAATATAATATATACACATATCACATATCCATATATATATATATGCATATATCCATATGAGCAACCGTAAAAACCCCGGCAATACTAAATATGTATTCGACGGACATTGGCTTATGGAAATTGATGGAAATTGTTAAAAACACGAGGTAAGCGATGGGACCTTCCCAAATTAGCGATACCCCTTTTCAAGGTTATGTCATCATATTTCTCTAATATCCATATTAGCGATACCCAAATATCACATATTATTCATAGTTCATCATATATATATATATAAATACAGCAGTTTCCTGCAAGCGATACCCCCCAAGTTTACCATATATCATTATTGTACAAACGTGTGGTAAGCGATGGGACCTTCCCAAATTTGTGAATGTCCTTTCCGTGAACCTAGGGTTTTCACAATCGCTCATATATAAATATATGTTATCACAAAAATTACTTTCATTTTTTAAACGCTATTTGTCACAGCAGTGAACTGGAGCTATATAGGCTATACTTCCCAGTTGGCCCATCTATCCGCGCAGGCAGTATCCCGGCGCATCGCATCATGATCCTGCAGCGCCTCATCGGCGCCTTGTTGGGCAATGTCTCGCAGGTGACCAACGGCATCACGCGGCTGATGACGGTACCCAATAGCTTCAACCGAATCAAGCATTTTGGCGTCGGAATTGATGGATGGTGAGTCTGGAAGCCGGGAAAGATGGGGGGGTTAAAAAAAGATTGGTAAATATTGGTAATGTTATGCCATGTTCCATTTTCATTGGTGAAACGGGAGGAAATCATGGTTTAGGATGTGTTCCGGGTCGCTGTATCTTGGGAACCACCCCAATAGCTGCAACTGCTGAAAGGATGGCCGCTTCCCTGAAAGGGGCCTGGTGGACTGAGGCGATTTTTGGCCCAGCCCGATCGACCGAAGGAGCACCAGAACCTGCAGAAATTTCCATGTTTTCACACCTGTCATGGTTTGAAGTTCAAAGGTGCATTATTACAAGTAGTACCGCACAAGGCGGTGGCGGAAGTTTCAAAAATATGAAACCTATAGCACAGGTTGGCTGTTGTGACTCACGGATGGCAGAGCGAATCCACTGATGAACCGAAAGGTGGTTGGAGTTGTGTTTTCTGGAGTGGTTGCAATGGTTGGAGTGGTCACCTCACCACAACTGCTGGATGTAGTGTGGTGTAGTGCAGCTGTAGTTGTAGTTGTAGGTGTAGATGTAGTTGTAGTGTAGTGGAGTTGTAGTTGTAAGTTGTAGTTGTAGTGGTGATGTGGTGTATTGTAGTGTATTGTAGTGTTGTGTGCAGTGTACTGTAGCGTGGTATAGTGTAGTGTAGTCTAGTGTATTGTAGTGTAAAGTAGTGTAGTTGTTGTGTAGCGTCGTTTAGTGCAATGTAGTGGTAGTTGCAGTTGTAGTGTAATGTAATGTAATGTAAAGTAATGTAAAGTAATGTAAAGTAATGTAATGTAATGTAATGTAATTAGTGTAGTGTAGTGTAGTGTTGTGTAATGTAGTGCAGTAGTAGTCGTATTTGTATTTGTAGCTGTAATGTACTGCGGTTTAACTAGCGTATTGTAGTGTAATGTAGTGTAGCTGTAATTGTAGTTGTAGTTGTAGCTGTGGTGGTGGTGGTAGTAGTAGTAGTAGTAGTGGTGGTGGTAGTAGTAGTGGTAGTAGTGGTAGTAGTGGTAGTAGTGGTAGTAGTGGTATTAGTGGTAGTAGTGGTAGTAGTGGTAGTAGTGGTAGTAGTGGTAGTAGTGGTAGTAGTGGTAGTAGTACTAGTAGTAATAGAGGTAGAGGTAGAGGTAGAGCGTAGTTGCACTTGTAGTTGCAGTTGTAGCTGTCTATCTATCTATCTGTCTGTCTGTCTGTCTATCTATCTATCTGTCTATCTGTCTGCAAGCTTGAAGACGAAGCTATTCTGCCAGACTTCCTCAGTTTTTGAACTTGACAACATCAAAAACGCAGCAATTCTGCGAGACTTCCTCAACTTTTGAACTTGACAACGTGAAAAACGAAACAATTCCGCGAGACTTCCTCAATTTTCGAAGTTGACAACATCAAAAATGAAACAATTCTGCGAGACTTCCTTCAAAAATGGAAAGTTGAGTGCAGAGCTGACGGCCTCGTACCAATGCGTTTTGCGATTTTTGAACTCCACCTGTCTAAAGTACTGCGCCTGCCACGAAAAAGTGATGTCAGGTCATACGAAGTGTGGCACCTGTCACGAAAAATCACCTTCCCACAACTGAAGATCTGATGCTCCAAAATGCAACCCCTCTCAGGAAATCAGCGCCGAGACCTCCTAACAGCTCTGATGAAGATGTTTTTTTTGTACGGCGCTTGCCACGGAAAATGCATCTTTGCAGATCCTCTTCAAATGTCCCACGCCTGGTTTTTGGAAATGTTGCGAAAATCTACAAAACCCTCGCGTTTTGCTCGCTTTTGACAAGGTGCACAATCCCTTGCGCCTGCCACGCAAAACGACACCTGAACGTCCAAAAGTGCTCCGAACCCGTTAGTTTTTTTTTATAGTTTTTTTTTACACTTTTGACTTGGAAATGTGCTTCGCGCCGCAACGGCGTGCACTTTTTCGACATCTCAACTTCTAAAAGTGCTCCAACGTTGGTGTGTTTTGTACATTTTGACTTGGAAACGTACTTCGTGCCACAACGGTGTGTACTTTTTCGACGTCTCAACTTCTAAAAGTGCTCCAAAGCTGAAGTGTTTTGCACATTTTGACTTGGAAACGTGCTTCGTGCCACAACGGTGTGCAACTTTTCACCTCTCATTTGGCCAGCTGGCTTTAGCGAGCCTACTTTTCGACCCTCTGGAGCTACAAATCTTTGGAAAAACGCAGTGTTTTGCGACTTTCCTACCTTTTTTCGCGCACCTCCATCTTCTATCTTCTGAGATCTTCTTTGTTCTTCTCTTCTCTTCTCTTCTCTGACTCTTCCCATCTCTGCTTTTCATCTGTCCATATCGTCGGAAGCTTGACTTCTAAACTTCCTTCGATTATGCATTATTGACATTCTGATTTCCCTTTCAGATCTCAATGCCTTTAGTGCTTTCACCCGTCCTTGTTTGTAATCGCTCCGTATTAGATGTATGAGAGTGGTGGTTCAATGATGATGTCTGATGATAGAATAGTCAGAGTTGAGAGACGTCCTACGTCCTGAGTACTGACTGCTAGAATCAGTGGCAGGATTATCCAAGAACAGCACGGCACCGCCAACCACCTGCAATCCACTCAGTGCACCCCATACCCCGCACCACGATATGAAACCATGGGCGGTAGCCAAGAAAAGTAGCTAGACTAAACACTGAAGAGCACTTCGACAAGCGCAAGATGATCTCCAGATAGATAGGTCATCCACATGTCCCTCACGTAGTTTCATGCAATTTTATGCCTTGAAGTTTGCTTGATTTCTATAGATCCCTGCCTAATGGTGATGTGATTTCATATGTCCATCCGTGCTTGAGTATCCCCACATATGCCGGTGAACTTCCCAAGGGCTCCCAACATTGTATCCCGATTTACGGCGACGCAGATTATATGATCTTACCATGTGTGCTGGGTAGCATCCCCATATATGTTCGATTCCATCAACACCCCCATGTATATCCATGTGTACATGGCCCATTGCCCACCCCTCAAAACCAACAAATTGAAGGACGACAGAGCCAATAAAATGGATTTTGAAGGTGCCTCTCCTGATGGCCATTGTTCAGATACACAGAATATACTGGTCATATTTTGAGAGATATATATATATAATATTATATTATATATATAATATATATGATATATATAATATATATATATAATAAATATATAAAATATAATATATAATATTATAAATATAATATATATAATATATAATATATAAAATATAATATATAATATTATAAATATAATATATAATATATATATATTATAATATATATAAAATATAATATATATATATATTATATAATATATATATATATTATAATATTATATATATAATATAATATATATATATATTATATCATATTATATATATAATATAACATTTACACACATATATATATATTATAATATATATATATATATATTATATCAAATAAACAAACAAACAAATAAATAGACAAATAGATAAATACATCATCATCATCATCATCATCATCACCACCACCACCATCACCACCATCGTTCTTGTGATTATTATCAATATCTACCAATGTTAATATATAGATATTGGTTCCCTGTTTTTTTTGAGAGCTGGCCGCTGTGGGAGTGCACTTTTTTCCATGCAGTCATTACATTAATCATTATATTAGTCATTATATTAGTCATTATATAAGTCATTAAATGAACCATTATTTTTATCATTATATGAATCATTATATGAATCATTCTTTGAATCATTATATTAATCATCAAATGAATCATAAAATGAATCATCATTATATCAGTCATTACATAATTCATTATTTTAATCATTTTATTAATCATTATATTAGTCATTAAATATATATAAATATATATAAATATATATATCATTATATTAATCATTATATTAGTCAATAAATTAACAAATATATCAGCCATTACAAAAATCATTATATTAATCATTATCTTAGTCATTATAAAAGTCATTAAATAAATCATGAAATGAATCACTATATTTATCACTATATGAATCATTATATTAATCATTATATTAACTATATTAGTCATTGCATTAGGCATTATATGAACCATTACATTAATCATTATATGAATCATGATAATAATCATGATATTAATCATTAAATTCTTCATTTTAATAATCATTAAATTAATCATTTTATTAATCATTATAATAATCATCATGTTGATCATTTTATTAATCATTATATTGATCATTATATTAGTCATTATATGAATTACTATTTTAACCATTATATTAACCAGTATATTAATCATTATATCAACCATTATACTAATCATTTTAACATTCATTATATTAGCCATTGTATTTATCATTATGTTAGTCATTAAATTAATCATTATATTAATCATTATATTAATCATTTTGTTAATCATTACATTACTCATTACATATAAACTCATTAAATTAGTCAGTATTTTACTCATGATATTATAATCATTGTATTCATCATAATAGTAATCATTATATTAATCATTCTTAAAATATAATCATGATACTAGTCATTATAAAAGCCATTAAATGAATCATGAAAAGAATAACTATATTTATCATTAAATGAATCATTATATTAATCATTTTATTAATCATTATATGAATCATGATATTAAACATTATATTAGTCAATAAATTAACAAGTATATCAGCCATTACAAAAATCATTATATTAATCATTGTCTTAGTCATTATAAAAGTCATTAAATAAATCATGAAATGAATCACTATATTTATCATTATATGAATCATTATATTAATCATTTTATTAATTATATTAGTCATTGCATTAGGCATTATATGAACCATTACATTAATCATTATATGAATCATGATAATAATCATGATATTAATCATTAAATTCTTCATTTTAATAATCATTAAATTAATCATTATATAAATCATTATATTAATCATGATATTGATAATTTTATTGATCATTTTATTAATCATTATATTAATCATTAATCCTTATATTAGTCATTATATTCATGAAAAAATAAGTCATTACATTAATCATTATATTAATCATTATATTAGTCATCATATAAGTCATTAAATGAATTTTGTTTTTTCCATGTTTTTTTTGCAGTTTGGCCTGGGGGGCGCAGGTGTGCAAATTGTAGAGACGCGCATTTTTTTGAGAGGTACTGTGATGAAAGCATCTTCACATGAAAAACATTCAAAACAACAATGGAAAAAACAAAAAAAAAAATCAGACCCATGGGCAAGGTCTGGGCTATCCACACACAAACCAAAAAACCAAAAAACCAAAAAACCAAAAAACCAAGAAACCAAAAAACCAAAAAACCAAAAAAACAAAAAACCAAAAAACAAAAAAAACCAAAAAAAACAAGATTGCACACCCCAAGGGGAGGGGGTCAGATGCAGAGTGTTGGGTCTTGTCTTTTTGTTTTTTTTGTTTTTTTGGTTTTTTGGTTTTTTGGTTTTTTGGTTTGTGTGTGGATAGCCATTGCAGATGTGCCAAGCAGAGATTGCCAGGCACTGTCAGTGGTTGCACTAGAAGCAAGGTCGATACACTACAGTACAGCAATGTTTGCTATGACATAGTGCATTCAGCCAATGAACAGCAGAGGAATGGAATTCAATTTTGTCCGGTTGCGCCATATTTTGTTGGATCTTTGCACAGGAAATGCTGCAATTTGCGCACTCCCACAGTGGCCTGTTCTGTTTTTTTTTGGGTAACCCTTGGAGTTGGAGGATGTGGTGCGCCCACCGGCGCTCCAGACGCCCAACGCGCCGGCGCTGCGGGTCACAGGGAGCTTCACTTTCGGAGGAAAGCCGCTTGGTGCAGCGCTGCAGCCGAGAATCCAGTGCTGGGAGGTAAAACCAGGGATCCCAAAAGGGCCTGTGACCTCCAAAGTAGGCTGCAAATGGCTGCAAAGGATATGTACAATGAATATCAATGAATACTTTGGGCATATGTGTGGATAATATACATATATATATATATATTGTATATTATATATTATATAATTATATATATAATATATATATATATATATACATAAATAATATATATATATATGCATTGATGTATATGATATAATCGAGACCACTTCTGCATGATTGTTTTGGAAGTCATGCAGGCCTATGGTGCAGAAAACTGTGGAAGTATCATCCCATCAAACTGCACATCCAACAAGTTTGGTGGTTTCCTGAGTTTCCTGGGAAATAGAATAGAACAATGAAACCAACCCAACGAAAAACTCAGGGGCTCCTGTTGACCTGGAACCTGGAACCAAACACACTCTGAATCACCACTGCTAATTCATCTAGATGTTCAATTATTTACAGTTCATCAATATACTTAGATGATCTTAGATGAATCAGACTATAGCCCAATGATAGCCATTTTATTATCCAATTATTTTTAATATATTCTAATATTTAATATATATATATATATGATTATATATGTATATATATATATATATATGAGCAACAACTTTTTTGGTTAAATGGAGAATAGTATTGTGGCGTACCCTGGTTTGTCGGAAACATCATAGGTAGCTTGTAAAACGAGGTAGTAACACCCCGAGAACGAGGTAGCCATCGCATGCAAAGCATTTTGCTATTAAAAACAAGTGCGGCATTGGAGAACGAGGTCAGACCCCCAAAAACATGACGGGACTGGAGAACGAGGTAGGAACACCCCGTAAATTGCGTTTTGTACCAAATAACTTCCGCGGCTCACATATGTACATATATAATTATATATATATATATGTATACACATATATATATGTATAACTATGTATATATATATATATTTATGTATATAGCCCTATGATGAAACCCCATATGTAAACATGCCATCCACCTGTCAACCGCTGGGAATCCCAGGAAACCCGCACTGAAGCAGCTGGATGTGGCCATCCCAAAGGGAGCGGCTCCACAAAAAATGGGTGGAAAACCCATGGTTTTTGACCAACAAAAATGGATAGCGCATGGATAGTTAATAGATATTTAATGGATGATTAATGATCAATGATTGGTATAACCCAGGAACTCTAGATGATTTCTATGATTTTACTTCTTGAACATGATGTTAGACATTGATTTTTTTTTTGGCTACGTTTGTTCACATACAAAGGCATCAAACCTGGGATGTTCCCATACCTGGCACCCTCCGGATGAAGATCTGATTTTCCGTGGCATCTGCGGGTTAAAACATGGGGTACCAATGGTCCAGCCCGGATTCATCACCAGTTTAACAATTGGGGGTCCCCTAAATCGTGAGAGCTTACTGTAGTATTACCATTGGCACCCTGCTATTTACCCAGGGGCTTATGAATTCTGGGTGAATACGGTGAATACCCTCCAGTTAGATTTGCGAGCCAGCAAATCTCATAAACAGGCATGTATACATGGGAAAATCTTCAGGTTGTCCAAGCCATCTTTGGCCGGAGGGCACCTACGTTGGCAAGTGGTTTGTAAGCCCTCTATCAGAACTACTTCTTTGACACATAAACAACTGGGGTGTTTCATATGGTTATCATCCACCTGCAATGCCTGGGATGCGCTGGGATGCACATCAAATTATATTCCCATTTCAACTATATATATATATACATAGTTAGTCAGGCAGTCAGTGAGCTAGTTAGTCAGTTAGTTAGTCAGTTAGTCATTTAGTTACTTAGTTGGTTGTTCCATGCACACGGATATATCCCTATTATATCCCCCTTAAGGGTGCTGCTTGGTCTGCACCCTTGCATGCAGACCTTGGATGCTGAGGAGCTCGTGGGTGTCATCGGCCGAGTCGGCTCGGGGAAGACCACCTTCTTGCAGACCATCATTGGGGAGCTGTATCCCTTGGAGCGCCTTGAGCCAATGGGGAAAAATTCTGGAGAACAGCAGGGATGGGCTGGTTGTGTTGAGTAGTGAATAAACATGAATAAGCATGAATAAGCCACATTACAATAGATATATTCTTTTTGATATATGATGTCTTAAATCGAATACGGACTGTAAAATTTCATGAATGCTCACCATAAAACAAAAACCGGAGGCTCATGTTTTGACCCAGGGTCACGACGGGCTGTTTTTTTTTTAACAGGTCACCGCATACCAGCGTCCTCTGCTGCATGTCCTTAGGCACAGTTTTGTGGAGGCTCCCGACACCGTTTCGGGTCATGTCGCCTACTGCTCCCAAGCAGCCCAGCTGAAACTGTGGAGGCAGTGGAGGAAGCTGAAACCGTAAAACCAACATCTTACGTGTTATATCTCCAAGGATACCCTGCAACCTTGGATGATCTTGGATGATCTTGCATGATCTTGGATGGTTTCATCAGATATGCGCTTGGTACAGTTGATGCGATGTCTGCGATGCTTGGATGAGGTCCCCTGGATCTTCGAGGGTACTCTTCGGGAGAACATCATTACAAAATCTGCGATGCATCAAGAACGTCAGACCCTCAATGACACGACGGCCAGATCGTACTCATTTCAAGATTGCGTGCAACCAATACTGGGCTGCTGAATACACAAGAATGATTGGGCTGGCGAAAATCTCCTTTGCCTGGATCTCACAGTCTGTAAACATGCAAAAATCATTGGTTTCTGGGCACGTTAGAGGTCTTACAGTTAAAAAAAACCAACCTTTAAAATAAGACCAGACTTTGACCCATAGCCATGGCCTCAAGGCTACTACAGCTGCATCTATGCTGCCGGCTTGGCTCCTGACCTTCAGATTCTGCCGGGAGGAGATCAGGTCCAGTGGGATGGCAATGGACCGGCAGAAAATGCATTTTAGGTAAGCCACAAAAAGTAGAACAGTAAATTTCTCACTAAATTTCATGATATTATTGACGAATGATGGTTTTTCAAAACACAAGATCCATAAATATCCACAGTGTCCAAATTTGGGGGATATTGTAGTATAGATTCCGTTGATCCATCAACGTTGAGAGTTGGTCGATAGTTTACATTACAATACATGATAATGTATATTAACATCTGATAGTTTATGATAATATGGTCACCCGGAAACCATCGCCGTTCCCAATTCTGCCACCTAAACCACTCCCAATTTTGCCAGAGATTGGTGGTATTATCAATAACCGACATATAACATCATATTCCCATATAGAACAGGTATATAACTGGTATATAACCATGGGTATATAACTGGTACATGCCCAGTATAACCTCATCTAGACTTGGAGCTTTCCATGGCACAGGTGACCATTGGCTCCTTTGGCATCCGCTTGTCGGGCGGTCAGCGAGCTCGTGTGGCGCTGGCACGGGCCGCCTACATGGAGGTCGGTGGAACGGAGTGGAACGGCGGAACGGGGAGGCCGTGGAAGGCCGTGGAAGGCCATGATGTTTTATTATGGTATGATTATTGTTTGGAAGGCCATGTTTGGAAGGCCATATCATGGTTATAATATGAATAAATAATAATATGTCCATTGCAATTCTAAGATGTTTGGACATGGAATGACCTATAGTAATGATGAATATTATTTTGATGGTATATATGACTATTATTCTGGCATGATTAATGACCTAGTGTATATGTTTTCATGATGATGATTATGATTATTATGATAATAATTTATTATTACATATATGATGATGATATGATGGTACTCGTATGATTTATAGTAATGATGATTATTGTAGGTGATGATCATATCGTCATGATTGATTGTTCCATAGTAATAAGAAACAAGAAGATATTAATAGATGGAATAATAATTGTATAATTTATCCTTATTGGCCAATCATTATTGAAGATAATGACCTACAAGCTGATGATATGTCATAATGGCTGATGATATATGTCACAATGGGGTGATCATCATGATGATAACCTACAGTAATCTACAAAATGGTATGATCATCATGATGATAATGATCTACAATACTGACAATATATTGACAATATTGTCATGGATCGATCATGTAGAAGAATAATCACGATTAAAAGAAACAAGGTTGGGAGGCGGGAGGGATGTAAGATGATACTAGCTCATTGGGTATGCAGGCCATATGCCATACATGTGTAGGGAATAAATGCGCCGTTGCGCGAACGTGAGAGGATTTTTTTCTCCTTTGTCGGTTTTCCGGACTACTGCATTAGGGCATGGAAGAGGAGAAGGGAACGAGCGATCCATGCAAAGCATAGTAAAGTAACTAGCGCACATCAGTCAGAGCATAGAGCGTCGGTAAGAATGCGGAGAAGGAAAAAACAACATCGTTGATAGGGGGGAATTGAGCATTTCGGATTGCTGCCAGGGGGATTGCAGATTGTCATTTCGTATCATCGGTTGCAGGCGGCTTCATTGGTTCTGATGGATGACCCTTTTGCAGCCGTGGACGGCCCAACAGGTGCCTCAGAGGCAGATAAGACACTGCCGCAGCCACAAGACCCGCAAGCCAAGGCAACCATATTTTCAATGAGTGACTCGGCAGAACTGGCATCACTGCCTG